GCAGAGGCAGAGGCGGTGGCAACTGAGCGGCGGCATCTTCTGCCTCAGCTTGTGGCAAGCGAAGGTGGCGTGGACTAGCGCGCGCCAAAAGGAAATTAGCATGTGTGTCCAATTCGAAAACGAGGAGGCACAGAGGCGAGGGCGAGCAGTCTATGCCCGATGTCCTCACAGTCATCCTCACAGCTCGCGTGCCTGCGTAGCCTACGTGTACATGTCTGGGTGTGTGTAATCGTGTATGTGTGTGTGGGTCTGCTTGTCACGTGAAATCAAATCAGGCATTACAATTTCACGCTCAATCGACGTTGTAATTGAGCCACACAGCCCCAGCTCCAGCCCCTGCCCCTGCCCCAGACCGAGCCCGAGCTCTTCTAGGGACTACAGCCGCCAGTTTGTCTGCCACAAATCCAATTGGTTGGCATTGGGGGTTACACACCGTCGTGCAGGAACAGGAAAAACATCGACAGCTTCCGTGTAAATTGAGTCAAGCATTAAGATGTGCCTGCTGCGGGCAGCCATGCGCGCAGGACAGCCGGCTCACCAACAATTAATGCAACAGTTGTACAAATTTACAGCCAAAATGAAACTAAAATTATATTTTACTTGCATATGCAAGTAGAGCGGCCTCTTACATGTATTTGGAATATGTTCGAAATCTTACCCAGAAGGTTTTCACTTTCCCAGCTTTCAAAAGAATAATTCAATTATTAAAGTGGTTTCTGGCATTCTCGATGATTATGTTTTTACCTTTCCGTGTTTGTTGGTAAATTATTAAATCGACTACAGTGGTTGTGAACTGTAAACACAACACATACATACGTGTACACATAATATCATATAACAACATCGACACATTGAAGAAGGTTTCAGGGATCGTTCACCCGCAGCTTCTAATAAAAGAAAAGGAGAGCGAAGGAATCTTTCATTTGCATTTTCGATTGCTTTTGGCGCACAAAACTATCACATATGAGATCTTTTTCAAATGAAAAGTTTTTTAAAATTCAATTTTCCAATCGGTAAAGAAAATTTTTAAGCATAAATGAAAAATGTTTCAAAAATATAACTATTGGGAAGTATTTAGTTGCGACATGCCTTGAAAAGAAATCAGTAATGTAACTTTATACGAATTATTTGTTCACAAAAACCAACTGCCAACAACTTTTGTGCAAGGTCTCTAAGAAAATATGAAATTTTGGTTGATTGATTGTCACCATGTTTTTAATTCATTAAAATTTTTATAAAAAACATTTACATCACTGTTTTAGCCGATTATTGGAGCGACAAATTTCTTATGCCGTACTGACTCCTTTTAAAAGCAAACATTTTTATATTTGGGGCAAGATCCGCAAACTCGCACTCCAAAGATGAACATGTAAAAAATGTCCATTAAAAAGTAGCTATTTGTTATATACAAATATAAAAGCGACAGTATTTAATAGAATTTGAATCATTCACTTAATAAAACGAACTCTAAACGCAACCAATTCTTATAAATTTGTTTTATATAAGCCAAAAGACCTGTTCAATACGACCACATTGAGCCCAATTTCTTATTATGATTTAATGTTAGATTTGCATTTTTGATGATTTTTCGCCAGAAGTTACAAAATTCCTTATTTCCCTGAAGTCTGACCTTCAGTTAGAGAAATGGATCCTGAAGAACTTTTTAATTCGACCATGTTGATCCCAATTTATTATTATGATTTAATGTTAAATTTAATTTTCGGTATGATTAAAAAAAAAAATCAACTCCACAGATGATTTTTCGCCAGAAGTCACAAAATTCCTTGTTTCCTGGAGTCTGACCTTCTGTTAGAGAAATGGATTCTGAAGAACTTTTCAATTCGACCACGTTGATCGCAATTGCTTATTACGATATAATGTTACATTAGTTTTTTTTTATAATGCCTTCAATTTTGGTATGACTTCATAAAGAAATCGACTCCACAGATGATTTCCCTGAAGTCTGACCTTCTGTTAGGGAAATGGTTCCTGAAGTCGACTTGGCGGCAAGATGACTAAAGAAATAGACTCAGAGGATAGGAGACACAACAACAAAGATCATGAGCTGTAGTATTTCAAAAAAGAAAATATTTCAAATTTAGTCACTTCCTATTGAAGTTGTTGCATGTAAAAGGCTGCAATAGTGGAAGTGTTCATATTTGTTTTTTATGTTACAAGTTGCTTATAGGCAGTGCTTACTGTTGACATTTATGATACAAATACGAATAGGTATTTCGACATATGTATTTAAAACAATTTATTTATGGCCTAATTTATGCGTAAACACGCCTCGATTTTGTTATGGCACACATTTTCTTGGGCAAGACAAATGCGTAAAGGTAGCAACAATAACATTAACAATAACAACAACAGCAGCAACAAAACCTAAACAAATTTAAGAACTGGCAGCAGTTTCGAAAAAGTCCTTGGACTTTCCCATTGCTACTGAAGCTGATGCTGTCGTTGTCCAATGTCCTTTGTTCTGATCACGTCTCCCACCGTACGCTGATATCGAATTTGTTCGATCTCGTGTGAGTTTTGTAAGCGCAGCAGCAACTTTGTATCCAAGTGAGCAGCAACGACAGCGTCAGAATACATACACGCGTGTATCCTGGCAAAGTCCTGCTCTTATTGTGTGGCTGCTGCTGCTGGTTAGCTGCTATTCCGCTATCGGATAACAGAGCCCGCATGCGAGTTTTATATTATTGCTGCCGCCTTGGGATGTTGTATCTGTGTCTGTTGGGCTTAGAACTTGTAATAAAGAAAAGGGTTAGACAATTTTGTGTAAAAAATGAGAAAATGTGAGCATCTCATGTGAATGTGTGTTTACACATTTATATGTATGTGATCGACAGCTTTAGATAACGATCTCGTGACCAACATCATGTCGGCAAATTGTGCGCTTATGGGAACTTCGGAGCTCTTACAAAATGAAAATAGCAACAGAGAAAGAAAGAGAAAAATCTTGCTACGAGATTTTAAAGCCAAGTGTTCAGCACAAGCGCCGCATGATTCACAAGCTTGTGGCTCGTATCTGAGCGATTCCGGAGCATATTTTAAATAGCTGCACGTTGGAAACGATAAAGACGGCATCAGCATTACAACTACAACAGGCAGAGTGTGCAAGAAAGTATAAGAACTTATATCTACACTCCGGGCCACTTGAAGCTGTACATTGTTGCTTCAAGCTAATATTTTCATAAATTGTTGCTAAATCTAATCTACTAAATCGGTGCTCTATAATATTATATTTAATTTATAATTATTTATTTTGCTTAAACCAAACAATAAGAGACAAGTTGAACGTCTTAAATATTTTACATTTTCTGTTACTTAAATACATTATTTACCGATGGAATGTTTTAGAAAAAGTTTCCGGATAAAAGGGGTGTCCGTTAAGGGAGTTTTTACTGTATATACCTTATACCTCAATGGCGAATGGGTATAAAGTGTACATATAAGCGCCAATTGACTAACCCCATATCTTCTGGAAGTTCAGATATATAGTCTTGGTGTTTTTATACGCAGAACAAGTTTATTTTTGATTTATATAGCTGCTATAGGACCGATCGCTGCAAACGTTATGAGTGGAGATTTATACACTTTGATGGCCAGTCTACATCAAATATTTCAGCATATTATCTGTCGGACCTACTTTTTTACTTGTATAGTAAAGTATAGAGGCTTCTTACTCTATTCGAATCGGTGAGGATCCTGCGTATACGTCCGGATCTCAAAACGTATATGGGCTGCAGACTGAGTTGCCTTGGTATGCGCAGCACTCCCTTGTCCATCCTTTCGGCTTATTTGTTACAAGTCTTATTTTCGAAATTCAATCTTACTACTCTCCCCATTTATTGAACAGGTTTCATATAAAATGAAGTACAAGGTGTACTATTTACGTGGCGTGCGGTGTACATACGTACGTATGAATGTAATGCAGAGAGAAGTAAAGAAGTCTTTGTGTGATTAGCTCATCGAGAGCAGCAAAAAAAATAGACACGAGCCAAAACATTGTAAGTGTTCAACGAAGACGATATGCCAACAGAAAACATATGTTCATACATATATTCTCACAAACCTACACACATCTGCCTATGTAAGCCAAATTGTCAACAAAGCTTTTGGCAACACGTGCCATGAGCGGAACACGAAACAGAAAATGTTGAAAAGATACGCGTGATCGGCCATAAGTCGATCAATGAATGAATCGCGTAAAGTGAGTCCAAAGTGTGCCAAAACAACAACAACAGCAACAACACCACTACTGTGGCGATGGCGATGACGATGAGCATAAAAAATCATAAAAAAGAAACAAAACAATTCGTAAACAAAAGCGTCAAGTTTGCCGATCTAAGCAGAATATACATTTTCATGTAGTCTCATATAAAATATCATTTTAGTCAGGGGTCAACTGAATACAAACATACATTGTATGTATGTGTGTGTGTCGCTTATATAACTTTGAGTTTTGCCTTCTGTACGAAAAAAAAAACCAAACAAAGAAGAAACTGTCTAGCTCAGCAGCAACTTGCAGAAGAAAGTCGAAGAAAGTCTCTGTGGCAGCAGCAACAACAATTCCAGTGAAATGCAAATGGTCTGGGCTTGGAGTTCTTGGGGGTCTGGCGACAGTTCATTTTCTTGGCGTTGTTGTTCTTGTTGTTCGGCGTTTATGTTGCTTCTTTTTTTTTGCAAGCCGCGCACAAGTCACGGTCAGGCTGCATGTTTGTTTATTTACCAAAATCGCCACCGTGTGACATTGTCCGCTGCGAAGGCGACATTGGAACCGATGCCGTTGCCGATGCGTCGGCCAGCTGAGCAGCAGAAGCAGCAGCAGCAGCAAGCCAATCAAATGCAAAACGGGGCAGAGCTGCGCTGAGCCGAGCAGCAGCGCTAACTGCCGCTACTGTTACTCGTAATTCAACTGAGCTGCGCTGACGTTTTGTCATTGCACTGCATTGTGAACAGTCGTCTACAGTCTGCGGTCTACAGTCTTCAGTCTACGGTAGCTTGGGCCCCCGCTCGAGTCGCTTGTGCTTCCAATAATCACCCAGTGACCAGTCGAAGTGAAGAGTCTTGTCCGCGTCCGTGTTCTCGGTCCCTGTGCTTGTGCCTGTGCCTGTGCCAATGTCGTCCCGTCGATTGCCGTTAATTGTTGTTGTTGAGCTCGCGTTTTATGTGGCATTATAATTTACGATTTCTCGGTCTTTTCACACAACTTAATTTGAGAACAAAAAAAGAAAGGAAAGAGTCCAAAATCGCAGCAAGTTGAAACCTTCATTAGGGCGCGTGCTGTATTTCCTGCAAGCGATGCCATTCGCAACTTGCTCATGAGGATGGATCCGAAAAGTAATCAAAATTCAAATATAAAAATATTAAAAGTGCACCCATTATATAAATTCTTGAACTCACAAATGGATATCCTTATAAAAAATATATGCAGATCTAGAGTCGCCAAGCTCTAAGTGAACAAGTTATTGGTTTCTAAACTAAGTCTTAAATTCTCAGAATCGCCTCATTTAGTTGGGTAACTCCTTTATCCCTTTATAAACTGATTTTCTTGAATAATTTATAAATAAGTGGCAGTTTAAATTGGAACTTTTTTTAAATTGGCATCAGCAAAAAAGTGTAAAACTCTCACGAATGTTCAAAAAGCACTTTATTAAAATTTTCCTTAAGAAATTGTAGATTACGATGTTAGTTGTTGCTCTTAAGCACCCTCTACTGTACATACTATATAAACACTATATGCTATATGTATCGCTGATTATATGTATATGCTCGTTGCGGTATGACCAGAAGAGGTCTGTTTGTTTTTGCAGCTCTCGAATTTTTTGAATTTTTCATTTTATTTTTTGTCTGCAGTCTGGCTTATTTTTTTACTTACTGTTTGTATACGGTAGTCCCAAAAGTCATTTGTTATGTCTGCATTGGCTCACAGACTGGCAGACGTGATCAGACACGGTCAGGCAGTGGGACATGCTGCTGACTTCGGTACTGCGCCTAAATAGCTGCAGTGAATGCCGCTCTTGTTGTGGTTAGCATTTATTATTATTGTTGATATGTCTGAAATATCGGATTACATTCCATTGAAAAGTGTTGCAAAGCTAACAATCGCCACTTTCCAATACAACCTTGAAAATCTAAATATATTTTCAAATTTTAACTTGCCGCTTTAGTAAGTCGTTGACATTAACTCAATGTCTTTGGACATATAAAAGCTTCCGCCAACACTTTTTCTCTATAATTCTGTAGGTGTTTGCCAAGAACTGAACTCACCTGATAATACAATTTAATGCCTGCAATACTTATATAAATATATTATTCTAGGATTCAATAAAGTCAACGCCAAACTGCTCGTTTTAGCAAAACGTCATTCAATTTCACTTTATTTCCAACAAGCTTACACAAGTATTATTTTGCTTTTATCTAGACTTGCTTGTTTATACTCGTACATACTCTACGTTTTTTAAAACCCCTTAAGATTTTGAAATATTGTGTCGAGCTTCCAATTAATTCAAGCAATTCGCTTTGCTAGTAAGTTAGTCTCTAAATGTTTAAGAATATTTATATTAGCAATTTAATTGATTCGAAGCAATTGGCAGAATATACAATTGAAATCGTCGTTGCATTAAAAAAATCTGCATTGAAAATTACCCATTTTGTGAAAACGTTATCGACCTTATTCTGAAAGTTGAGAAATGTCTTATTAAACCATTTTTTTTTCTGAAGAACTTTTCAAAAAAAAAAAAAAAAAACTAGCTTCTTCTATCAAAAACAATCAACAAGCGAAACCCTCGTTTCTTCTAAATAATAAATAAATGCAATACATCTATTGATATGTATATGGGATATTAAAAAAATAAAAAACCCTATACATACCATAGTTATCTTTAAGTCCACCTCTACGACACCTGCTAATTATGATTCAGAATGATTCACTGAATATTCAATTATGATTCATTCTTATGTGGTTGACCCTTACAGTTTATGATATGGGGAATATAATTTAATATTGCTGATTCTTTTTTATTTTGAGTAGAAAATCTTGAGCTAAGTCTACAACTTATTAAAAATCAAATAGAGAAATGATGGATGAACAAATAAATCACTCAGTTACTTCATAAGTCAGTGGCTTAATTTAAAGCTGTTTTAACTGAATGCTTTATATTTGTTTATTAACATTTGTAGTATGAAATTTTTATTTACACGTTAATGTTGTTGGTTTTGCATAAAAAAAAGAAAACGCTGGTTAACGACTTAAGATCGCGATTTTGTTCTTTTTATTTTATTGACATGCCTATTATTTTGTTCCACAAATAAGAAGAAACATTCATACATGCATCAACGAAATTAATTGAAAATGTCAAGAAAGTATTAACAATTTTATGAGCACATAAAAGTGCGAAACATTTAAAAATGACATAAAACTGAAAACACATACATACTTACATACATAAAGCTTGCGCGGGCTTCTCTGGCTGCATATGAAAAATGGCGACCATGTATATAAAAATGCATACATACATATATACGTGTATGTATGTTTGAGGAACTTGAAGAAGAACTCTGTTCACGCAGCAAATCTACATGGAGCTGACGAATGTGACATTGAATTTTGACAGACGAGTTGTGCCGGTGGAGCGAAAGCTGTTACACACACTCACACCAATACAATGTGTGTTACACCCACACATATATACATACATACATCCGAGCGAGTATATACAGATGCGTGAGTTGTTTGACAAAAAGGAAAATCGCCTTGCGCGTCTGATGACGACGACGACGACGACGATGACGACAATGGGCTGTTTTATCAAAAAGGGCTGAAAGAGAAAGCTAAAAATTCGAATGCCAGCAATGCGCGCTAATGGAGTGTAAAATGCACACACATGCAAACATACGAGTACACTGCGATACACACGCACGGGCATTCGCAGGGGCCAACAAAATGAAACTCAAATAACAATTATTAAGGCGTTGCCAGACATGCACACAACAATTATGCGCGTATAGATGTGTGTGTGTGTGTGCGTGTAGGCGTTGCGGGGCAAATCGGTTGGGCAGGGCGAGGGAGGCGAGCTTGTTTACTGGCCAGGGACGAAGTAAATCGCGTCGGCGAGCGGGGCGGGCATTATAAAAGAGCGCGCGCGCGCGAGACGTTACGCCAAACACACTCACACACAAGGCCGTACAAACGGATGCAGAGCAATAACAAGCAGAACAACAACAACAACAACATCAGCATTGTTAATAGTTCCAGTTTTCATTCCAGGCCGCGCGCATTTGTGTGTGTGCGCAGCATTAAGCGCCCGCCGAGACAGCCAATGAGATGTTGTTGCCCTGCATTTGTATTTGTGCAACGCTTTGCGCTCGATTCGCGCTCTCTCGCTCGCACGCACTGAACTGTGAATTGTGTCGAATGTGTTGTTGCTGTTTGGCTTGTTGTCTTGACGGAGGGTGGCATGTGTGTATTTGGAAACCAGTTTTTTTTCATTCTTCTTACACGCACACACACACACGCAAACGCACACACACACACGCAGTTGTACTCACTCAACGATGGTCGGTGAATGAACCGTGTGACGGCGGCCCTAATATCTTTCTAATGTTACCTGGTTGAGACACCATTTTCTTTTTTTCTTCTTCTGTCTTCCTCGACTGTGCGTTCTGTGCTTGTTGTAGTTGTTGTTCTCGCTGTGTTTTGTTTCCTGTGCTCGTTGCGTGTATTTATCATTTGCTGCCTAGGGTTTTATGCTTTTAAATTCTTTTGTCTCGTAAATTTGATGTACGACCCGAGGTGTGTGTTGTGTGTCTGTCTGTCTGTCTGTCTGCCGGTGCTTACATACATAAATAGACACGCACACACACACATACAAACAAGCTGAGGAGGTGCTGTGCTTGACTTCTAGCAAGGAAATCCGTTTAATGCTGTAAGTTTTCTACGTTAGTCGTACATACATACATACAAGTATATATGTATGTACATACTTATACGCACATACGAGCATGTATTGTCATTCTCTCAATTGTTTTCGTTAAACTCTGATGGTGTGACAATTTATTGCGAAGCAAATGTGAATAATGAGGCCCGCTGCAATAATTAAACCATTTTTAATTGCTCTTCAAAAACACATTGCTCTTAACTTCTCCGGCCGAGATAAGCATTTCCACCCAATATGGAAAGGGGTACATACTCGTATATCGTAGTAATCAAAGCTTTATTTTGGCGTCAACGTATCACTCGTTTCGTGAGTTCGCACCTATTCGCACACTGATTAATCTAGACAAAACACTTAAATATCTTGGCAATCTTTGCTTCCTTTAGGACTGGAACCGTTCCGCTTAAAATAAAGAGATTCTTGATAAGATAGTGGAGTGTAAAAATAAGATAGCATATCAAGAGTAGGCGGAAATGCTTGGAAATAAAATCTAAACATCAAATTAATATTCTTATTGTAAAAATCACACCAAATGATTTAAAGTTTATTTTGTTAAACGACCGCTAATAAGGATATAAATAACCTTGGCAAACTATAACCTATTCTTTCTTTGTAGCTTTTATTTCCGGAGCTATTTTGCTTTTTAAACTTAGCCTATGACCACGGCTTTAAAACTAATTGTTTAGTGCTTCGCTTATACCATAATAGAAGCACGACTAATTTCAATTTTTTTAAGGCTATGTTTCTCCATTTTGTAATCTCCTGTTTAAACGCAAGATGTCTTAAAGTTGTCAGCACCGGAACACCACAGCCCCAGCTAACCAATTAGGAAGTATTATAAGGGCTTAGGGGTCTTAAAGGGGAGCATCAGTTCAACTCTTATTTTGAAATCTCTTTAATCACGATTATTAAGTGGAAACACCATCGCGCAATCTATTTTAAGAGCCACCTCGAAATCACCATAGAAAATCAACCTTGATTTTGAAGTGAAAACTGTCATAAATTTCAAGGTGGAAAAGAGAGGAGAACTAAAGAAGCGCATTTAATTCAATGTGAATAAATGTGTGTATGTGTAACCCAAAATAGAGCCATTAAAGATGGCCGCCGTACATTGAAGTTGAAAAGAAATTCAATGACAAATTCATTTTTGGTTTACGCTTACATAAAACGAAATGAAATTGTAGCAGCAACGGAATTTAAATGCATTTGTATACGGCTCTGATATATAGAAGCACACTATAGCATTAACGTAAGGTATGTATGTAGAATATACATATGGTGTAGGTATCTAATGAAACGTGATTTTCTCAAAAACGTGACTTTGTATTGATTTTTTCCAACCATACTTTGTTTCATTTTGCACTTCGAGGCGTCAGCGAAGTCGACAGAGGCGTTGACGTTGGC